AAAGAGGACAACCGGCTCGTCCATGCCCTCAACGGCAACACCGTGCATTTAATCTCCAACACAACCGGTTTTTGAACTCAAGAATCGCAGACATCGTCTTCTACTTTGGACATTCTCTCTGGCTTCTGTCCTCTGCCTCTACGGCCCATGGCGTGGCCGCGTCACAGCATTGAGGCTCTGCTCGAAGGCGGCACTCCTCCCGAGGATGCGCTTGTGCGGTTGCAGGACCGGAGCTGGCTGGCCCACACCGTCAAATTTGCGTGGTCCTTAGTGATTAACGTTGCTTTCCTCGTCCTCGCGCTGATCTTGCATTTTCTAGGTCGCAGAACGTGGTGTTTGGCCGCGCCTTTCTTGAAGCCTTAACGGCAATCGGGCCGGTCGACGTCTGAGAGTTGGAGGCGGTCAAGGTGAAGCTGGAGAGGCCGTGTGGCGGGGGGGATAGCCAACATTTGAAATCGAAGCAGAGTCTAGATTCCAGATTGTCTCGCTCAAGCCAAGCTTCTTACCGCGATCATGCCTGCACGAAGAGCAGAATGATTTTGTGGCCTAGACCTGGAGGTTGGGTGCTCTGTCGTGCTTTCCAATCGCTCTCGTGTAGATTTTCGTCTCTTGCTTTCAGGCGCAAAAGCAGGCCTTGATCAACGCCTGTGTCTACTTTTATACCAGGACGACAAAGGTGTAGCCCGAGGCCGGGTTCTACAACACGTTCAAATCATGTTTAACCCTCTTCAGTCATCCAAAGCTTTTGCTTTGGCTCAACAGGTTCAACCAAAAGAGCCCGCGACTGCAGCTCTTCGTCCGAGGGGTCAGAACGACGAGGTTGAGGAGGCAGGGTCCACCTTTGGCAGGCCGCTTTGAATAGGCAGGGCTTTGTGTCATTGAAGGGGCACATTGTTCGACCTCCGAGAGCCGACCTTCTCTGTCGAGCTTGAGAACACTGGATGAAACCATCCAGGCCCACCGGCTTTGTGTCTTCAGGGTGACTACACGCTCACCTCGCCCGCCCGCGAACCAGAGTCTGACCCGACATGTAGCATTTTGTTCGGGTCCGCGTTTGGGTGGTCTTTCCATGCAGTCCTCGCAGTCAAACATGCCACCCACATCTTCCGCCACGCTGTGTGGTCGATCGACGAACTCGCCACTGTCGCCAGGCGCCGTTGGTGTGTCAGCTGAAGAAGGACCTGAAGGAGCTCCAGACCACGACGGCTGCGCCGTGGAGCAAAATCATGGTTGTTGGATGCGGCGGAGTTCTTCGGGTGTGTGTGTGAGTATTGAACTGAAGGGATGTGGCTAGCAGATCGGGAAGTTCGGATGAAGATCATTTTCCAATGTACTGTATATAATATATATATATATATTATACATATGTCCTGTTTGGGAAGTAGGGTGCTTAGTCCTGCATCGGACACCCAGACAGTGTCTGGTCCTTGTATATGTACATTACGTTTTTTGGACCACCAACCAACCAAATATGTTTTTCTTGCTGGTGTATCGTATATATATATATAATATATACCGTTGTTTTTTCGGAGTCAGTCATGCACACAAGTTGTTTTTTCGGAGTCAATGAGACACTCGCAGGTTTTTGTGGGGATGACTCAAAGAAACTACACTTTGATGATCACATCACATGGGATTGGAAAGGCAGCTGTTTGTAGAACAAAACAATCTTCAAAGGGGCCGTTTTCCGTTGGGATAGTATTTAGATGAATATGTTTTTTGTTTCTGACTCTTCAATGTTTTCCTGGTAGTCCCGGGAAGGAAAAATGGGCGCACGCAGCTGTAGGGTTTCCGGAGTTTCATATCTGGGGTGTCAGGGGCACTGCTTGAGGCATCGCGAAATGACATGAGGACATCCCCCTTAAAGAACGAATATCACTAGAAATACTGGAGATCTCAAATACAGGTTCCATTTTTTCAGAGATCCCCGTGATTTCAACCGTACACGGTCCCTGGAGTCGCCAAAGTCGGTCCTCAATTGAAAAAGGCCTACTCTCCGGTCCGTCAGGTCTTTCGGGCGACAGTGGTGGAGAACCCGGAACTACCCGTGAAGAGCCGCATTCGAGGACAGGTCCAAGGGTTCGGTGGAGGGTTCGGTCGAAGGGTTTCATGTTGGGCCGGAGGTGAGGGTCCAGGACAGGAGGATCAGGAGGATCAGGAGGATCAGTTTTTTTTTTGGGTTATGTTGATTTTTGTTTGGTTGACCGGCTGAGGGGTAACATTGATCCGTCAAAACTAACCTGTTAAGATGCTAAGATTGTGTATACTGTATATATCAGTTGTTCAAATCGCTCAAGACTAGGGCCCTCGCATGCCCTGGCACTTTTATTTTGACGTGGTCAGAGTCCTGCCGTGTATAGAATCCAGGTGTTTTTTGTTTGAAAGCTACCTCTCGATAGGAGCATGTCACTTACAGAAGGCAAATTATGTTACAAAGGAAAGCATTGTGCTGGTGAACGAAGAAGGTGCCTGAATGATTTGTGTCAACCCCTCTCCTTCCTCGGGAAACTTAGTTCATTTGACGGGCATGACGGGCATAGTTGATTGTGGTCTGGCAGCATCCATGCAAGCTAACTACTACTGTCATGCGGAACCCCCTAGCCATCCCTAGTCCATTTGGACAGCCCAATGTTTGGGGTACCCCATTAAAGCTTCACCCTATCGCCCAAATCCCGAAAGGTATCCCACAGTCCATGAAAACCAGAACCCTTTGGCCTTGTATTCCAAAGCCGATCCAAATCACAGTCTCAAGATCCAGTTCCAAGACTTTAGATCATCTATACGTGTTTAATCCTGATGTTGCTGTCCTTCCAGATTCTCCTCTTGAATCGATATCGCGACGAGCAACCATTTACCAGGGTCGAAGTGGATCATCTCCGATGTCCTGGAAGCGCCTGGCGTGTTCTGCACGATGCCCTTCTTGCCTCTACCCATCCCAGAGCCTCTTTTGGTGGTCTCGACCACCATCGCACCTTGGACGGGAAACCGTCCGAGACGTCTCTGCGGCAGCGACCGGAGCGCGGATTTTTGGGCGAGACGAAGAATGGCGGAGGAGTGCAAACTTCCTAAAGATCGTAAATGAGGGATGCTCCAGACTCCAGATTAGCCGTATTGGACCAGTTTTGGATACACATGAGATCACATGGGATACACCTGGTCGTCGTTTGACGAAGACGGTTTGTGTTGACGAAGACGTCGGCGAGACGGCGAGATGGACCCTGGGATTGATCACAGTCACGATGCGAAAAACACTCTCCCTAGGGCTCCAAGTACCTCCTCAGAAGGTATGACTGGACCCTCTAAACCCACCCCAGTCCCACCTTCGAAACGAAGGTACGACTGGAGCCCTAGGGGATGCGAAAAACACTCTTGATCCACTGCCACCCTCTGAGAGGGCTTGAGAGGGTGAGGTGGGTGACCAGGCGTCCCTCGCGGAGAAAGTGGCCTCCATAGCTCCCGAAGGGGAACGCAAAAGGGACACCATGTCCCAGGTGAGAGTATATTGAATAGGGAGACCTCCCAGTTCGACCCTCTGGAAGAAGGGAAATAGACCAGTCTACGCATGGGGTGGGGGTCCCCTTCGATGAACATCCAGGCACCCTGTCCTGGTAAAGGAATGAAATAGAAATGACATGAAATGACTGTTTTGCACGATTACTTAGACTTGAACATGGCGAACTCACTAAACCTCACGAAAACCAAGGATAGAAACTGGCAGACTAGCCCCACTCGGGCTCACTGGAGGAGGAAACTAGTCTTCCAAGGGTTCTAAAAAACTTTGGCAGTTTGATATACCTTGGAAGTATATTCCATGCTTCTTTTTTGCGGGGCCCTTGGCTGTTCTTCACGAAGCAACAATATTGATCCCAGCTTGCGCTCTTAAAAAGCAACAAATACACATAAAACGCATACTGTACTGTTTGGTTGTTGTGGCGTTCGATTCCAGGTTAGAAGATTGACGTCAATCAGTGTCCGACTTGTTCAGCGCGTGGGCAGTGGAGAACCGGGTCAGGTCCCTCCAGTCCCTCCAACCGGACGGCTGAGACGGTCTTGAGTCTCGAAGATGCCCAGGTGGAGGCTTATCATTTGGGTGGCCCTTTGGTGGATAAGTTGCCGCAACAGGTGCGCCTGGTGTTGAAGGAGCACTTGTTCAAGGCCACTGTCAGGAGCGATGGTTGATGTGTTCATCAGACATGCTCGGACACAACCTGTTTGGGACTGGCATCATTGCATACATTGGGGTGCTTTCAGGGGTCAATGTAGGTTATAATTAGGCAATATTAGGCATATCTCTCTCTCTATACATTATATAAATATACATAGACCATCATAGACCCCAAGAAAGATAGAAAAGTAGATCCTTACGTATAACATATTTTGGAAAACGTGCCACTATCTATTTGGACCACTATGACCACTATAAATATACTGTATTTATTCCAGTCTCATGGACGGTCTGGGATTGGATGTGGCGAACATGTTCGACGCCCGGAGAGACTAGGTGCCTCAGTCCTTTTGTCCCACCAGGAGATGTCTATTGTGCTGAATTGTGCTGGAACGAAACATTTGTGTGAACTCATTGAACTTAACGGAAAAGTACATACGCAACATCATGGGCATGAGGGGGGAGACCTAATTCTCATTTTGAGACGTACACATCATATAAGTCATATATAGGAGATGCCAGTCAACTCAGTTGAGTTGAACTGAACAAAACTGAACCCGGAAGAAAGCAAGCATGTACCTGCACTCTCAAAGTACCTTGGAAGCCTTGGGTACAAGCGGGGATGACCTCGCACAACGTACCCGTCCTGATGAGCTCCGTTCGGAAGCAACGCATGGCATTCTCCAAGGAGGGAGTGAAGCCTTTCATGGAAGCCTGCCCTATATGTTGGGCCCTATGTGCAAAACTTGTGTGTGATTGGCGGAAGCGGAACCCCTGAAGGAAAAGATCTACAGAAAACGGGGGGTTAAGAACTGGTGAATAGAATGTACTTCCAAACTCATTCCACCTTGGTCCATGGTGAGTCTGCTCATTTCTTCTGTATTCTGTGCCTTCTGATTCAGGGAAAGGAATTAGGATGCTTGTTGGACAGGAAACCATAAAACAGGCACGGATGGATTAATGGCAGTTTAGAAAAACACAGAGTGAATGAGAACCAGACGCTGAAAGCTGTGTGGGCACCAACCACTCGGGTCTTTTGCTCACACAAACAAAGCCATGTTTGTCCTTTTGAGAGCCAATCTCTGTGCATCCCTTTAGTGGGAGCATGTGAACAAACACCTCGAGTGGTGAGCCCAAACAAGTTTCCTTTAAAGCGGCGTGAAAACAGGCTGGGGTCTCAAGCCTCTCCGAAGGGTTTGAAACAAGTCCTTTTTGTTTTAAGTATAAACCAAGGGTAACAATACCCTTATTCTACAGGTCTTGAGATTGTCTAGGAGTTCACGAACAGAGGCCAGAATCCATCACAGCTATTAAACATGTCTAGAGTTCAAGTCCTTTCCGCTTGGGAAGCTGAATTCAGATGTGCATTCGGCTCCGCGGCTCTCCGGCGGTCGTCCGCGGTAGGAGGATGAACAACGATGGTCGGACGGATGTGGATCACTTCCCCATGATGGCCATGGCCTCCTTGGCGGAGGTCAGCTAGGCGTGCCTAGATGTGTCCGGACGATGGTGTTGTTGTTGCTGTGGTTGTTGTTTAAACAAACATATATATATATATATATTGTATATATATATATTGTTTATATATATATTTATTATTATAGTTGTTTTTTTGTCATTACTTGGTTTGCGCATGGTGGACGGTAGCAATGTTCTGGATGGTCCGTCGCACTTGCTTGTCGGTGGTGAATGCATGTTAAGACATGCCCGGTTCAAGTGGGACATGTTATTTTTTGGGACACGCATCATCCACGCTGTGCTTTTCGTTCGGACCTTTGAACCCCCGGACTGATGGCCAGGTCTGTCGACCTGTAGGAGTACTCTGTCGGTCGTTACGCAATTTCCAACATCAATTAGTAAGCGAAGCCTAGACCCTAGAGGCCCTAGATAAAACATGTTCCCAGAAAGGATAGCAAACAGTTTCTTGTGTTTTGGTCAAATTCCAATAGTACCGTTGATGTCCATTGGAGAGTTTGCTCGGCTTGATTGTGTGTTTTGCTGATTCTAAAGCAGATGTTTGTTGATTGCAATACTGACCCAGTGATTTGACTTTAGTTTGTCATTGAAATCTGGTGATTGTCTTGTTTAATGGCCTTTCCAGTGGGGGTTGCTTATGTACATCTCCAGGTTTGCTCATTCAAGCCAACACCCTGTGGTGCGGAGCTGGCCCATGAATTCGAAATGCTTCTCAGTTCTTTCCCCACAAGCTGGGATGGGGCCCAGCTCGGAAAGTGGAGCAAACCTGCAAAACATTGCAACACCTTTTGTTGGAATTAGTTTCCCCACTAAACAAGAACAGATTTTGGTGAACCTCTATTTTCCAGGGAAACTGAAGGAGTCAGACAACCAGACAGCCGCCCGGTCCTCGTGCAATTCTCCGCCGCAGGAAGGCGTCTGACCCGTGCGTCACGGCAGGGTGTTTTTTTTCATCGGCTTGCGTTGTTCAAGGGGCGTTTTTGAGCCAGCAAGTTGTACAGTATAGATGAGAGTTGATGCGCACGTATTGTCACTTTGTCATATGTTTTCTTACATGTTGTTCAGCTGAAGAAGGAGCAGATGAGGTCACTAGCAACTTGGTGTGGTCGCAGATGTGGAGTTGAGCCGGAGTCGTTCGACCCAGTCCCACTCCATGGGATCTGGATTACCACAGGGCGGGATGCCCAGTCGCATGGAATGCCCAGAAACAAACAGATTGCACCACCAGCAAAACAAGTTCCAGAAAACGTGACATCTGTATGTGCTTCAATCTCAACCAGATCCCCATCCTCAAAACCATCCTCCTGGTTCTTGACTTCGTGAAGGCCAAGGCCACATGTTCCTGCTTGGTGAGGGGTCACCAGTTCGGCTATTGTGGATTGCTCATGGGGTGCCAGCAGTCACAGAGGGATAGGGGTGCCGCTTCAAGGAACGAACGGAGGAAGCCCCTGGAACATCCACTCACTTTGAAGAATGCTCATGTAGGTGCCCTCTAACTACATGTCCCGGACATGACTAATGGGGCTGGTATATATGCCGATCAGGCCAGGGGTGGTGCCAGCGGGGGTCAATGTAGGCATATATGGCATACATGGAGTGTTTGGGTGTATCTGAGCATATACTTATAACAACTCAGCCAGTCCCATAGTCGTGTTGAGATGGCAAGATTATAGATTGTCATCAACTCTTCTGTATCGAAGTCTCTGTTACCGCGAGCGAGCGAGTCTGATGCCACCTCCGGGGGAGCGAGTCTTCTGCTGATTCCAAACAACCACGGAGTGGCCAGTGTGACTTTTGGCCAACCCTTGTAAGAGAACCTCTTCCTTGTAAGGCCCAAACTATTGGAGGGTGAGGACGGGGTTGGGTCAACACAAACAATTTATTATATAACAATATATAGTAATATACTGTATAATATACTTGCATAATTATATATATGATATATGGTATTCGTCTTACAAAACATATATATATATAGATAGTTCATGCTAGAGTCGGTGAACACCACTGTACTTGTAGTTGGCCCAGAAGCCTGACGAACCACTGTACTTGGTTGGAGATATTATTCCTAAAGAATACGCCGCATGGATCAGAGCGACTTCTATTTTTGGTCAACTACTCTAAATCCCAGACACTCCATGGGACTGCCGTAGGACTGCCGCCCCAGACAGACACCCGCTGTCACCACCCCTGGCCTGATCGGCAGTCTATGGCAGTCCCATGGGTCGTGTCTGGGAATTGTACCTTTTCCTACAGTCCCTAGGGATCCAAGTACCTTCTCAGAAGGTACTTGGGCCCTCCAAGCCTACATAAATGGTCTCCAATCACCTTCTGAGAAGGTACTTGGATCCCTACAGAGTATCAGGGTCAGAGGGGTGAAGACGAAATGATAGATCGATCTCCAAGATGGTTTTGTGTCTCTGATTTTCCTGGTCTGGCTGCCAGGTTCTCGTCATTGAAAAAGGTACAGTTGCCGGCTTTGCCCTGGTGCTGGTATGATGATTGCCCAGTACAGTACCAAGAAAGAAGGGCTTTGTGTTGAAACGGGGAAGCACCCCAAACACCTCTGGTCAGAAAAGGAACCAAATTTTCAACCGAGGCATTGGTTGGTGAGTCTGTTGGAAGCCGGCCTATTCTACACTCATTTATGTCGTCCATACAGAGGGTAAGTGCATGTAATCAGAGTCAAACAATTAGAGGTCTTGGAGGTGGCTTAACCGAACCTTCTCGAGACGATGATGTCAATAATTGGAGAAGTTTTCAAGGATCGAAAGATTGTATACCTGTTGATTGCCACATCCTGTAGCTTCAGTTTTCTGGTAAGTCTCGTCTCGATGTTGGGGCTTCGCGCTTCCGAGCATGGAGGATTCGTGCACGTTCGTGCGCTGTCATTGTACTTTCAAAGCCAGTATCGGTTGCCATGTTTGTTTTTGGTGGGAAATGATCTCAGGAAACAAACACAGAACCTGAGACGCATCGGCCGCTGCTCTTTTTTGCTACAGTGGTTTCAGAGTAGATGGCACAGACCTCAAGATGTCCTTTACATGGGGCCTGTGCCATCTACTCTCAATCCACTATAAATGAAATCTCCCTTGTAGGTCTGAACGAATCATGTAATCTATGGAGAGAGAAGCGCTGGGGTTTTATGTAATCTTTTGCGGGGAGAATCATGTAATCTATAGTGGTTCCGAGAGAATCACTCCAGTGGTAATCTATATATGTGATCTTTTGCAACGATCTGGGGACAACGATCTGGCACCTCTTCCACACGGATCACTGCAGATGGATTCTCCACACAACGAACTGTCCATGGCAGTGTGGTGTTCTGCACAGAGTTGCTGCATATCAATCCCAGACACTCCATGTATGCCATATATGCCTACATTGACCCCTCAAACCACCACAATGTAGGCATATATGGCATACATGCAGTGTTTGGGTATCAATGAACAGGCGTTGCGAGCAACGAAGTACAGGAAGTACAGGAAGGCCAGTCTCTTTCTTCAAGTTGCAGAAAGAAGACCGGAGGTTATACTGGGGGGCTTTGTCCGTAAAAAAGTGCATAATCCCTATAGGATTCGATCCACCGATCTGATGGTTTTTACATGTCTTTTCCGAGCCACAAAACCAGATCAACCTTTTCTTTTAACGGTCTTGGAAGACGCAACCGAGAAATCACATGTTGCTCACCTGTCTTTACGAGTGTTGCATCATCCATGAAATGAAAACGAAGGTGTCGAAGTCTGATGGAAAATGCTGTCCAAGTGATCGTCCTTGCCTGAGTCTGTCCTTGTCCCTAGTACAGTAGTAAGGCCAGGAGCGCCCCTAGTAGCGTCCTTGCTCCTAGTAGCGATGCCCTTTGTTCCTAGTAGCGTCCCTGCTCCTAGTAGTAAGGCTACCCCGTTCGCAGCGTCTTTTTTTTGTTTTCCACAGGGTTCCACAGGGGCATTCTGTGTTGTCTCAGGATGCACTGCCACACGGATCGCGCACACATGAAGCTCCCGCGTCCTCCTTGGCTCGGAGACCGCGCGTTGTATCTTTTAACTGGAGCCCTGGATGATCCTGGATGCGGGAAGCATCTTCCAATCTTCAAGAGATGGAAGGTTTGATGGGCTGGGGTTAGACAGAATCTGAGAGCAAGCGGCTTAAGAAAATAAAAAACACGGATGTTGCATACATGTTCAAACTGTTTTGTGATGTGCCCCGGTCGCCTTCAGAAGGTACCCAACGACACTGGCACCTGGAACGTGAACCAAGGCATCGCTCTCGTTCGTGCGAGGAAGTGTACATCAGCCGAATGGGACTCCTGGATCTCAGAAAGGCAGGGGACTGAACGAACAGTCAGCCACTTCCATTTCCTGTTACATCTCAGAGGTTACAGTGAATCCTGAATCCTTTGCCTATCTGAATATATATATATATATACATATCGCCTTTGTAATGCCACTTGGCTCCATTTAGTACATGAATTGCCAGCTTAAGAATGCTTGAGACCTTAGCTGGCCCACCCAAATCCAGGCCCTCACGGTTGGGTGCCATCTGCAACGGCCAGCAGTCCGCTCAAGGCGGTCGCTGCAGGGAATGATGCAGCGCTGAGAGTGGCGCCCGAAGATCCAGAGCTCCTCAGCTAGATGATATGAGAACCCCTTGGTTAGAAAAAATCATGCTAGCCTGAAGACGGTTTGGCATAAACAGATGCAAACTTCAGCTACTTGTACAGTGGAGCCTGTGCAGGGGCCACCCTCAATCTCCGGAGCATGGCCCGGGTTAATGGCATTGCCACTAAGCATCTCTGACTCTTGTGAGTGTGTTTCAAAACTCGGGAACTCCCAACCACTGGGTATACGTACTCCCTTGGTTCCCAGGTTTTGCGACTCACTCAGACAACTCTGCGATGTTCAGCGGTGTCCACACGACTTCCTGCGCGGATTTGTGAACAAAATCTGGGACGAGGAAAGCTGGGCACCTCCGGAAAGACCCGCCGGACTATGACACTGGAGCTTGGTTTGACCGAAAGCTTTAATTTTATTTGGGGAGTGGATGTGCATGCAATCACCCCTAGCAGTCCAGTTCGACGAGTTCTTGCGCACCACCGAAGTAAAGGAACATCCTGAACGACTCACCGTCACGTGAGAAAGTTACTTGAATAATCGATTGGACGAAACCAGTGATTATTGTTCAGTTTGGTCGCATCGATCCGGTCATCAGGATGCCCTTCCGAATCCGTTTCGATCTGATCCTGTGTAGGACTGACTCAGTTGTATCATGTGGTATCAAAGGGTTATTCGGACTGCGTTCATAGCTTTAAAGTATACCCAGACACTCCATGTATGCCATATATGCCTACATTGACCCCTCAAACCACCCCAATGTAGGCATATATGGCATACATGGAGTGTCTGGGGTATACTGCATACACAATGGAGTTGTCCCATGACCTTCAACGGTCTGTAAACAACTAAACCTAGAGATGTCGGCCTGAAACCAGGCCCCATCATCATGCTGGGCCCTGGTACATACCCAAACAATACACAAGAAAACATGCCTGGACCTTAGGGGTCCTTCTGGCGCTCTGGGCCTTTTTTGAAAGCATTTGTTACTAGTAATTCGTAAGGCCAGGAGCCCCGAACGTAGCGTCCTTGCTCCTAGTAGCGATGCCAGGAGCCCCGAACGTAGCTTCTTGTTACTAATTTGAGTATTCTTTTGACAGGGCACCCGGCTAGTTGACAGCTCTAAGACTTTGATGCCCGACGTGGCTGCGTGTAATTCCTTAGAGTTGCAATCGGTGACATTGAAAATAGCAATTCCATGCAATTCCTGTCTTGTGGTAGTCAAGGTCTTGACATTTCGGCTCACAGCATTCACTTCAGGATTTGCTTCATCATGCTGCTTGATGCTATACTTCTTGAAAACATCCATTCCCCACAACACACGATGACATTTGGTGAGATGTTGGCGACGCACGATGACATTCGGTGATGCTGCGGGAACCGAACACGTGACGAGATGATCTGCGTGACTAGCTTCACGGATATACAGACATGTCATGAATACTGTCTTAGTAATTCCCAGAATCTGAAGTGGAACAGTTCTGAACAAGGAGTTCTGCTAGCATTGCTGTGGGTTGGTTTGACGTGTTCAGTGTTGTTCAGCAACGAAGCTCAGTGAAAGTGGGACCCCTGCACGGTTTCTTCCGGATGTATATATCATGTATATATTTATATATTATGGGCAGCCGTTGTTCCTGCCCACAATCCAATTCAGATGGTCCAACGTCATCAATTTCAATCACGTCTTCAGCTTCAAACACTGAATTGATGATCTTCAACCATCTTGGCAGTTGCCCTGGGTCCAAACGGGCGCGACCTGTTGGAGATGATGTTTCAGGTGGGCGGGCTCCGATACAATTTTTAACGATGGATCGCTCAGCATTAGTTCGGGAAGATCAACTTCACCATTCGGAGACTTTTACATAGACCCTAGGGATCCAAGTACCTTCTGAGAAGGTGATTGGAGACTATTTATGTAGGCTTGGAGGGCCCAAGTACCTTCTGAGAAGGTATGTGGATCCCTAGGGAGAGGGAAAACTGCATTTCACCACACCGGGTGCTCATAGACTGGGTCCAGGCAGCCTATGGTGATCCTTTGCCAGTGTTTGGTCTATGTTCTTTGAAAGGTGGAGATGAGTGAGTGCTGAGTGCAGTGTTTCCCACATCTTTGTTGGTTGTTGGTGCTACTTATATATAATAAGTTTGCAGTGGTTTCAGAGTAGATGGCGCAATCCCAAAAGGTGCTTTATATGGACCTCTATAATCCTCTATATAGAAGACACCTTGGGGGTTGTGCCATCTACTCTGAAACCACTGTAAGTTATTGACTGCTTTGGAGCAGTTTGAGGTTGGGCGAACGCAGGATAGCCGTTTCTTAGTGCCCTTTTTTCAGGGCAGCCCTTCTTGAGCTCGCGGCTTGAGAGAACCTTCAGAAGATCATGTGTTGGTTGCAAGATGCGTTGAGCAACTGCTGCCAAACATTGAATAGTCTGACATACTCCCAGTCAACCAGTACGTACTGGGTGTAGCTCGGAAAAACGGGTACAAGTAGTTACCTGCTTTTTTGGGGGGGGTCAGGTCCCATTTTCTCAGGTACTTGAAGTCAGGTCCAGTCGTTGATATTGGATCTCATGGTGACGCCAGGAGGACGGTCGGACCGCCCTCTTGAAAAGTGGCGAAGGCCCCTTGGATGAGCCGCTTGGTCCATGCCCCGCTCAGACGGGATGAGTACGGGATTCGGAGTCCATAAAGGAATGATGAGGGTGAAATGAGGGTCCCACACACTCCATGGGACTGGTACATATACATTGACCCCTTTTCAACCATCCCTACGGATCCAAGTACCTTCTCAGAAGGTGATTGGAGACTATTTATGTAGGCTTGGAGGGCCCAAGTACCTTCTGAGAAGGTATGTGGATCCCTAGGGCATCCCAATGTTTGTATGCAACTGAGGCAGTCCCAGACGTCCCAGACGTCTTCAGGTCGTTTTTTGGGGGTGCAAATATATGCCTGTTCAGCTATCGGCCAAGTGCGGCCGACATTTTGCACCGTTGGAGAATCCAGTCCTTGACCCAGACACTCCACTTTTCAACAATATATGGGTGTGTAGGTTAAATAGGGAGCCCTCCCAGTGAAAGACCCGCAGGAAGGACGGTCTATAGACCCAAACTCATTGGTTGAGGGCCGTATTTGCCGATCAGTTTGGTGGGGCGGTCAATGGGGTGGCACCAATTCCGGTCGCATGGATGGCTTACTGGTGTGGTTTTTCAACTGATCAGTAGATCTGCCAGTCCCATGCGCAGACACTCCATGGGACTGGTATATATTTATGTTAGTTGTTGTTGTTTTTTGAATTGTAAAGTGCACTATTGTCTTAATTATAGATTGTTTATATCAACAAATATGCATAAAACACTGTAAATACTAGTAAATTTGATGAACGGTGTTCTTTTTGGGGGGATACCATATATATATATATATATGTATGTCTATGCCATTCTATGCCTACGTTGACCCCCATAATATCGGCCAAGTTGGCACTCCCAGACCAGGTGGGTGTGGCCCAGCTGTATGTTTCGGATGGAGTAGTACGTACTGATCGCTCTATAATTTAGAAAGGCTTGTTGTGAGTTGCGCATTTGTTCGTTGCTTCCGTTGAATGATCGTGTGATCTCTGATCAGTTGATGGACTGGACTTAGCGCACTTACAACGAAGCCAAAGCCAAGCATATTTGCCGACATGTTTGATGGCAATGCTCTTGAAGTACCTAACCAGGCAAAGTATCAAGACCAGCAAAGTACTCCAACAGTATCTGACAAAAGAACTTGACCAATGTGTCTTTTTCATACACAACTAGATTATAATATAGTCTTACCAAGGCGTAACTTGAAGATGTATAAAGACTATCAAGCATTGAACAACAATGGTGTTAAAAGCCTTAGTGTTCAAATTCATGCCTTCATCACTGACCAATCCTGTATTCTTCCAGGAAACATGTTTGGTGATTGAATACAGGGCCGCTGCACAAGACTAAGTACTTCTGATCAATCTTACACACGCTAAGCACTTCTGCAGTCCTCAACTCACAGGGCCCTCCCTTGTTTTTCCCCAGTCGTACCTATCCCAGACACTCCATGGGACTACCATATATGCATACATTGACCCCTCAAACCACCCCAACTGATCGGCAGTCCTATGGCAGTCCCAGACAAGTCGTGTCGGGGTAGTCGACACCTCAGCCAAGGTATGCCTCCGAGTTCGTGAGGCTGCGAGAGGTCGCCATCAGCAAGATCCAAGCGGCCAAGGACCACGACGGAGCTGTGGGGAGGGAGGAGGTTTTTCGCATTGGAAGATGGACATGTTGTGTGTTTAGATGGACTGAATACTCTGTAAAGAGGAAGAGGTAACGCATTGGTGTGGGAAGAGGCACAGTTGGGGAAGGAGTTAGTTGGTAGATTGACGATCGATATGCCACATGATATGCCACAGACAGGGCCCACAGAGATGCCCACAGATAGTTCTGGGAATCATTGTGCTTGACTTATCAAGACAGCCCAGAAGTTGCCTGAACACAACATGGCTTACTGATCCATTTTGTCGGCCGTGACTTTGATCACCAGCGGTATATATACAGATTCTGTAGAATTTGCAGGTCCAGGTTGATGCCTCCTTCTTCACGAGGGAGATGAGGAACCCCTGCGGTGGAGGTTGATTTGGAGGTAGATCATGCTGGGAGGATCCCAGCTCCTGTTCCATATTTTCAGGTTCGGTGGGGACTGACCCCCCAAGACCACCCACCCCTGGCCCACCGAATCTGGGGATGTGGGCCAGGAGCCCTAGGGACAGTACCTCGGTACCATTCCGTATCTGAATATGCTAAGTTGCAGATCGGCATGTTCGTCACAGCATATGCCTGGATCCTGAATAGAACCCAAGCTTCTCCACAAGCAACCCCCTCTTTCCGTGCGAGCGACGATCCGACCTCGGTCCGAGCCCGGTGCTGACACAGCTGGGGCCGGGCCGGCGTCTTCCTCGCAGGACTCGCCAGACTCCCCGGAGCAGGTGAAGTCTGCGGTGCTCGCCGTGGTGGGGCAAACCCGGAGACAGGAGAGAGTTCAGAGAGTTCAACAGGGAAGTGGTGAGAGAAGGAGGTGAACAGTGTTGTAGATGTTGGGTCGCATGCGGTTAGCTTAAGATTATGGCAATAAATTCATGGATGTTCTTGTTTGCGTTCCACTCTTTATTTCTTTTGCTGCTGCTGTTGAGGTTCCTTTTGTTGTACTGTGTATGGGTAGGTGTCGTAGTTGGCTAGATTGTTTGTTGGTTGCTCCCCTTGGGCCGTTGGGATTTCTGCACGGGCGGGCCAACGGCATTGCGACGTTCCTGCGTTGCCCCTGCGGCAGCGCCACCCCGACGTCGCCCAGGTTGCGATGGAACAAAACTGGCGGCAGATCAATGTGCAGCTTGGGCACGGATCGTCAACTGAGGGTCCTCAAAAGAGTACATGAGCTGCTCATGTGTTTTGTTTTTTGCCAGTATATAATGCAATCAGTTGGACAACAGTTCCTCACTACATAGAGGTTGAATCAGATTTTCTGATTGGTTCAGTTCGCTTTCACATGGGCTGGGCTCTTAGTCGTTATTCATGACCTGCTCCTGACCTATACAATGGTTTTCTTATTCCAATCTTTTCTTATTCCGAGATGATTGATGATTATCGATCCAGCTTCACGACCTGCTCCACGCGTGACATGGATTATATATAACAGTTGTTGATTCACGAAGAACCCGCGTGACATGTCAATAAAAAGGTGCACGTGACAGATCTATATGGACCTGGTTAAAACAGGCTTGACAAAAGCAGCTAAAACCCCTTGCACCCTTGCACCTTCTAGGTTGAAACCCTCTTCCAGCCCCCCCGAAAACACGGCAGCCATGCCAGCCATCTTCCACAACTCTCACACGAGGCAGCTGCGTTTGGGCCTCTCAGGGGCTTCCGGATTGGACGACCAAGTGAAGTCCTGGGGCCAGGAGGCGACCGCATCCGTGCGACCGCGTCGACGCGACACGTCGTACGGGCGCGCGGACGGCGATGAACTTCATGCGGGCAGTGGCTGTGAGGTCTTTGTTCCTTCGTTTCTTCCGTCGTTTTGAAGGTGGAAAGGGGGGTCCGCATTGGCTTCTCAGGTGCCGAAGTCCGGTCCGGTCATTTTGCCTTTTGGCCGCCGCACAAAGGAATTCCGGTCCGGTGATGAGTTTCGATGCCTGGAATTGAGCGGTGCATCGTGTTAGAAAGCGCATGGATTGCTCGCATCGATCTCAGATCGATGTGGAGCCTTGGAGCCTTGAACTTTGCAACGAGAACTCTGCAGCAGGAGCAAGACGAAGAAGATTGGAACCTTGGAACCCTGAAATCTTGGAGAAGTTGGGGAGTGAATTAAGGAAGGAGATGGAGGAGGAGGAGGAGAAGCAAAACAATCATTTCTGAAAGGCTGCTATTCTGTCACTTGGAACTCTGGAATCTTGCAACCTGGGACAACTCTTTGGAACGTGAAAGCCTGGAATCCTTGAGACTTGGAGAACCTTGGAACTCTGGGAAACTTGTAACTCGGACAACTTGGAGGCCCGGAATTGAGTTCTTCCAGGAGTCACAAAGGGGTGGTTTTGAGTCCCCAAGTGAGTGGACAATGGGCACCCCTAACCTCCATTAAGATCCATTAAGCACCCCTTTGTGACTACTGGTGTTTAATTCTTGTTCAGTTCTTGATCTTTGGAACCTGGCCCTTTTATGCGGAACTTGGGGCTCTTGACTCTTGTAGCCTGTTAGCCTGCCATTCCTTCGGACAGTCAGTGGGCTTGTTTTTTGCGTCTCAAGACTTTGTGTCAGGTGGTCTCTTTGTGTCATGTGTGGTGTGAACCCCTTCGAAACGACAAGGCAAGTGTTTTAATTGGTGCCTCAGGCGTCAGGATAGGCACTTGAGAATTGCAGCTTTGGCTGGAAACTGGCTGTAACAACAGTGCGGTCCATGCAAAACATGGGCAGAAAGCTTTCTGCTTGCCAGAAGCATGTGACGTATTTTTTAGTATTCAACTACATAAAATTGCTGTTTGCTTGCGAAGCTTGGTTAGCCTACATCCTTGAAAACGAGAAGACCCTGTCGGTGTAACCGATTTTATCCCCACATCCCCACAATTCAATCCGCATAGGGCGCTTGAATTGAATCCCTGCAGGGCACTTGACTCCTTCAGTGACTTGGAAACAACGATTTCGAACAGCTTGTGAACACTACACCTGTGACGCAGGTGCATATCCATGGCCAGGGATGCGTCCCTCTTTGATGCATAGCTTCGTCGGAAAGACTAGCATCAGAGAGCTTTGTCCCCCTGCACCCTTCCAAACTCCGAAGAAACACACCCACACAGAACAGCATTTAACATCCGGCACGCAGTGGTCGCTTTTTCAAAGTCGGTATCTCAGGTGCGAACCCTTCGACACCTATCAGGTCCCTCCCAAAAATTTGCAAGGGATGCTTTGAAGAACCGACAGTCAGGGCTGAGGACTGGGATAATAATACACCCCCATACTTTGGCGAGACTCTGGATATTCTTTGAATCGGACCGTTTGGTTAAACGGGTGGAAAGGGTTAGAGTCTGACATAGGCTGAGGCTTCTTAAATGAGCAGTCGTTTTGGTGTTATCGGATCTTTTCCTCCAAATGAGAGTCTGGTTTCTTGCGCTAAGAACATTTCTTAACACACGCCCGACCATACAGCCTACCATATGAAACCTTGTGCGTAGGTAGTTTCAACTCGCGTTTCAAGCATAAGCCACAACCCATCACGGCCACAAAACAAGAAAAACTATGAAAAACTATACTTACTACTTACCTCAAAAAAGTCAATTATGTGACATGTGTTAAAATCACCTCTTGCTGATTGCGTCCTCCACTTAGATCGTCCCTCGCAACCACCAGGTGAAACACATGCGTCGCGATTTGGACGCCATCGTCGAGGAGCGGAACAGGAGGCGGGTGAATCGCCGGACGTGGACGAAGCCTTTAAGCTGCGAGGGTACCTCTTCTACAGGAAGGCCCCCAGCAGTTGTGGTGTGGGATGGGTTGGGGACCGACAAAGAGAATTGGACTTTCACCAGGGCCTTTAGGACAGACCTTGGAATGGGGGGGGTGCTCGAACGGAGAATGTGTGGCACAATAACAGGGGACGCTTGGTGACCCGAATGGCCATGGGAGAAAGTGGATGAATAGTTCCAAAGTTCCAGGTCCTGGGTGCCGAACTTGTCAACTCAGCAGGTATTTTGTTTGGGATTTGGTGCAGGACACTTCATGGGACGGTAATATATTGGCTACATCAACCCCCAAACCAACACTGGCCGTTTCGCAGTCCCGGACGGAGTCTTCGAACGAACGGATCGTCCAACGAACGAACGGTCTCCTCGCCACGGACCTTCACGAACGGCTGGCTGTAGAGTGCCGAACGGCTTCGTGTCCCAAGCACCACAGGTTCGCTTCGAACCCTCCCAGCGCCCAAGCACCAAACCGAAACCAAATACTTGGAGCCCTGGGGCCGGCTCGGTCTTCCACCGAAACGAATCACGTCGCACCTGGTCCGAGCTCGCCGGTGCCCAGGTCCTTGAACTTGGGCTCTTCCATCGAGCGGGGGAGTGCTCTCCAAGCCACCGAGATGATGGACAGGAGCGAATTGCTTCTCTCGAAGAACATGGGGCCGAACGACGAACGAAGCGCAGGGGCACGGTAGAACGGAGCGTGGCCGAACGAAGGCGAGCGGAGATCCTGCTGGTGCCACCAGCTTTTGATTGATCCACCCTGGGGTACCTCATCAATGGCTACGAATTCACGGCACGGGCCCCAAGGGTCTTTGATTGAATGTTCTGTTTTGGAGGCCGCGTTGGCCTCTATAATGGAGGCCTTCTGTAAATCTTAGAAACTATTTATATACTAAATCTTGGAAACTATTTACTAAATCTTGGAAACTATTTACTAAATCCTAGGAAGTATTTGCTAGGTCCTGGACACTATTAGCTAAATCCTAGGAACTTCCTAGGAACTATTGGCTAAATCCTGAGAAACTGTTTGTTAAATGCTAGACTATTTACATCAACTTGGACACTATTGGCTAAGCACCTACCAAATGCAGGCAAATCCTTCTAAACGACTGGAGGGTCTAAGCAGAAACCACTGACACGCCCAAACATCTTTCAGCTAAAGCTACAGGACCTTGTTGGATGCCACAGCACATCTTAGCAAGGTGCCACTTGAAGTACTTGTGTTTTTCAACCTTTCAGAGATGGAAACCTACTATGACACAAGTCAACCAGCCTGGAGGTGAGGGAACACTCCATCTGGTGCAGTGCTAAACCTACAGCACGTTCCTTGCACGATTCCATTTTGATCAATTTAGAGCAGCCTGTGACTGTGAGTTTCAGCTTCCAGTGCTGTCATGTCGTCGAGCGAAGAAGACAAGTCTGGCTGTGCCTCCCTGGCAAGAAGCCTTTTGCGCCTTGACGATCCTTCAAGTGATTCTGAGAAGCTTGGACTTGGACTTGTGAGACTCAATGATTCACAACTCAACTCATGATTCAGAATACCCAGAATACCACTATGAGACTATGTGACTATGTATGACTCTATGACTCTATACTGTGTACTGTGTTAGAAGTTGTTTGAATATGTTATCAATCAAGTGAGGGGTGTGAAGGTGTGAAGTCAGAACCCAGAACTTTTGGACTGATTCAATCATGTCTTCAGTCTGGCTGTCCCTTGCCTTTTCCCATTCCCCGCCCTAGATGCTTGATGTGAGGGTTGAAATATGAACTGAATAGGTGATGGACCAGTGGAGGATAGGATCTCTCGTGAGGAGTGGCAGCTCCAACGAGATCATGCCTCCCAAAGCTGCTGATCCACAGCACCTCCGACAGCCTGAAACATTTCAGTGGCCTCACCTATACTGCGAGAAGATTGGACTGAACCATTTGGCTCCCCATTTGGCAGACATCACGAATCTTGGATGGCACGCAGTGGTCAACCAAATGTCAAACACAGTATTTGGATAATACTGCCTGCCGCATACCGGACAATTTAAGTACTGGCTTCATTACCCACATACACACCAGCCGTGTCGAGCACACAATCAACTTGAGCTGAGTTAAGACATTTGATGTGGGTGTGATGCCTCGTCCCTTAATCATGAGTCGTTTGGTATTGACGGTTGGAGAGTGTGATAGTCCCAAAAGTTATGAGCAATAGAGGCGGTGCAACACTTTTTGGTGCGTAGTACATTGTGGCTGACTGCTGAGGGTCAAGATCAAGGAGGGTTGTGCTGGAGCAGCTACAGGGACTTATTGCTTGTCCCAACCTTAGACTATGGGTGAGAGCCAAAAGTCGAATCCTCCCAAAAACTGCGGGCAGACTTGCACTCTGTACTCTTGAAAGAGTCTTTGTCTTTGTGGAGTAATTAGTAATCCTTGTAGTTCAGTCAACTTCTCTTCAGTCTTGTGATGTCGGCACTTTGGGTCTGAGTCTAAATTAATATAATAGATTTTATAATTTATATATGTAACATACAGACATGATAATATATCGTTTGTGAAATCTTGGACGGACCTTGGAAACAGAAGATGTCAAGAGTAGAGTCAAAAGCTAATCACCCAACTCTTCGAATTGACTGCCAGGCGGCAGCTGTCTGATGAGTTGGGTTTCAAAGCTGCGACATTGAGTTGCAGCGACTCAGGCCCTGGAAAGCTTAAGTTCTTGAAGCAGAATTATCCAGGCACGAGTGACTTGACAGCAACTATTGATGGGCTGACAATGCCATGGAGAGTGGGCCTGTGGGGTCAGATTGTTGTCACTTTGCTATTCGCTTTGCTAAAAGCTAGGGCTTCATGATGGTTGCCAGTACTAAAAAAGTCACAATCGATGAATCAATCAATCCCCACAACTGAACTTGAAAGCTCATGGACTCATATGATCAGTGATGATGCTGATGCTCTGTTGTGGAACCTCAGTTGGCCACCTGTTCGAGAAGATCGAGACTCAAGAACATGGTGGTGGGAAGTGCTTGCTGCACGACATGCATTGTGCAGATCCTGCCGATGACTCTTGATGACAAATAACAGCCAACAAGACAAGACTAACAATACCTGAGTAACTGAAATTCATTGATATTGCTACACACTACACACACATATCATATCATTTCATATCATCAATTATCGAATCATAATATATCATATTTGTCACATCACATAGCGCACCTCACATATCACATATCTACAAATGATTCGATTTGATGATTCGATACTCTATTTACAATTTGCTATTGTTTAACTGTTTACTTTGTGATTTATGCAGGGATTGAATCACAGGCGGCTATAGGAGAGGTACCTCACACTGACACCTTGCATTTGGACTCGCAGGAAGACATCTTTGCCTTTGGACCTCCATGCACCCCATATACGAGATTGTCGACGAAACGCAAATCAGATGATTACGCGCCATTCGCAGATCCTGCCAGCTTTCCATTTGTCACTGGCTCACGATACGTGAGAAGCTTGGTCGAGATATGCCATTTTACCCACTCGCCCAAATCAATCTGAAAGTTGGGCAGGGCAAAACGATTTGTTTGGCACACGGCTGGCAGTGACTCTGGAGTTGTAAGTTGTGGTGAGCTCTGAGTTTGTGAGATGTTGTGAGCGGTGGTGGAGCTGGATTCTTGCAAATTTGACTTCTGACTCAAGTTTGTATACTTGCTTCTAATTGACTCTTGACTAGGTACCGGAGGAGTTTTTCGGGAAAGTGTACTGTAAGACTCTAAGACCCAGGAGTCGAGTCTGCACCTGAGCCCTCGAGTGACACCTTCGAGTTGAGGAAAGCACCGCCCGCCCATGGTGCTTATGGAAGAAGTTGCCTGGCTGCACCCATCGCATCATCGTATATTGAATTGTTGAATCAATGAATCCAATCATTTGACATCCAGCTTTAGAGTTGAAGCTTGCTTTGAACTGCACTTGAACAGAGAGGTGATGAAATCAAATGTAGCTGTAGAAGTCGATCTTCACAACCCAGAATTCCAAAAGCAATAAATAGATTGCAGGCTCCAAATTGATGTCATTGTTGAGGGCAAAGCAAAGAGTTTTCTGAAGACACTTCACTGGAAAATTTCCTTTGTTGTTTGCTAGCGCTGGTCTTCAATTGAGGTTGCGGATGTGCTGCTTCCTTTCCCGCCACAGTGCAAGGGAGAATTCTACCAGCGCTACAAGGTCGGGGCGTCCAGTCAGCATGATGTGCATGCTGCTGCATTTTGCATGCTGGTTGTCATGCTTCTGTTTAGAACTAGTCAGACGCAGTCGAGGGCTCGAGATTGAATCTGTTATCGAGGTTTCAGAAAACCCTCTCAATTTCAGACTGAGGCAACCAATGACCGGGTCCAGTCAACTCTCCCATGACAAACTCCGTGATTGTTTGTACAAAGATGCCATTTTGACGCTTAGCTTAGCATTGTCATTGTTGTGACTCCATATAATATAATAAACAAACAAGATAATTATATAATATAATATTACTTTATCACACGCAAGCAAACACGCAAGGCAGCAGGTTAACAAAGGACCAGCAAAATGAACTGGTGCAAGCACATCACTGACACTAGTCGCCCTTGTCACATGTCCATATTTTTGTCTATTTGATAGCAAGCTAAGACCAGCAAAAATAACATTGCTGGCCACTGCTGTGCCATGCCACTATTGGACTTATGCAGTGATGAGACCTGTGAGCCAAATGAGACAGGAACAGTGGAGGAGTCAGAGACCGAACAGTGTAGACAGAAGAAAGAGGCAAACCAAAAACGAACAGAAAAAGCCAGGCAAACAGCATTGATGAACAGACTGAAGCGGAAAGCTGGGGATCTTCACGATATGAGAGTTGAAGGTGATGAGAAAAGTGATTCCTGGGCAAAACGGATACAGGAGATGTATTTTACACCAAAATTTTCTGCCATAGCACCTCTCAACAAGGACAATCCTTTTGGGAAACCCCAGACTCAGCGCATTGGGATAGAGCGTGAAAGAGCAGTCATGAGTTTTTTGGTTCAACTCCTACTTTTGCTGCAAAAGCTCTTGACTCCACCACGTGGGGAAAAAGTGGAGCAAGTCCTGGATTGTGTCATTCTTGATGATACATCGACCCGGACCCAAGATAAGGACAGTATGCGGTCTATCCATTCTGTGACAAACACAGTGCAAACTCTGCACGTGATGTACAGTGACAGCTCATGTGAATGCACAATGTTGCCAACACCGTTCCTAAGCCTACCAAGCCAAAAGACTGAAGATGTGTACGGTGCATACTCTGCTCACCTGATCGTGTCCAATGGTTCTATTGGTCACAGAATCCAAGCATTGGAGAATGCAGTGCCGAACATTGGGGCCAAATTGCAGGATTTGCTGGATCAGGTTGGCTGGAAATTGCATGTTTTTGTAGGAGATGCTGCAAAAACCAACAGCGCCATTTTCAAGATTCAAAAGCGTCACCAATTGGCAGTCGGTGCTAAGCGCAAGCTTTCCATCCAAATTAAGTGCCTCTTGCACCAAATTTGCTTGGTTCGGCGTCCATCAATATTGGCAATTGATGCCTACTGGAGCACAGTGGTGCGGCTAGCCCACTTATTTGAGAATTGG